TATAAGCAGATAATCATGCACTGATAACAAGGTTTCCTACGATTCTCAAAGCCCACATTTGCAGTAAGCACTATATGAATGAATGAGTTAACAAAACTTAGAGCTACTGTAGTTTTGCATGTATCTCCTCATCCAACCCTGCATCCTCAGCTGTTTCTCAACCTGCTGTCCATCTTCCCCAGTCTGTCAATTAAAATGTCTCCACTTCCTCAGCACTGGACGTTGTGACTGTAAGATAGTCTCGACATCAGTTAGCTATCCTACCCGTCATCACTCTGCCCTAATTTCTCCGTTCTTTCACTTCTTGACACCGTTCATCAGCCCACACTCCAGAACCTGCATGACAGTCATTTTAAAATATCACCACTAAAAGTCTACTTCAATTTAATGGATCATAAGGCTGCAGTGTGAATATTCAGTGTGTGCGGCTGCCGCCTGGAGATTTAATCCGGTGCTGCATAATTGATGGAGAGATACTGGAAAACTCACAGATCATTAAATGTGATAGCAGATTTGCCAAACACTTTTCAGAATAGTTTATGCTCAATGTCCTGTTGGGGCTATATGTTTTGCAGGGAGACAGCTCCTGAAAACTGGGAATGATGGTGATCATCATCACGACGCATACTTCCGAACACTGTTACTGACTCGCTCAGGCACACGTTTCAACACAATGGCTGTGAAGTCCTTAGACATTATATTTCCCAACACTTTAAATCTTCAAGAATCTTTAAATGATTGCAACTTAAACGAGTCCACCCAAAAACTGCTTTATTTGGATTTGTAATGAGTAATTAATAGCTTCTTTTAACTTACCCACAAGTCCTCAGACAGCAATATTGTAATATTGTAATAAAAGTTTGTTTCCTGAGCCAACAGAAGAGACATTTATTTGACAAAGAAACTTTCCTTTGGAAACTGATGCTTGTCAAACTCTCGGCTTGCATATCTGCAGCATATGGTGTGTGAGCAAAGCATGTGAGGTAGACACAGTCCCAGTAGATGTTAGATTATCAGAAACAAAAGAAAACAATACATGTTTTTAACTTTTGGTCTCTGTGTAGTTAAACGTGACAGAATGACTCAATCGTTTCAGATTTTGCATGATGTATTGCGTTATTCATTGATTGATTAAGTTTATGATTCCCAAAGCTAAACTGATTTAAAGCGTGGACACAAGTTATTCTTCTCAATAATACCACATTCAAAATATAATTAAATACAGAGAACTTGTGCAACACGTTTTTATAGATGACTAAAAAAATGAAAACTGAACAATGAACCTTTTCTTTTTTTCTTGTTTGAGATCCAAACAAAGTCAACTTCAAGCATCCTTTCTGTTACATCACACTTTATCTCAAAAAACACATATCTGCATATGAACAGTGGGAATGTGTATTTAACAAGATTATAGTGCATGAAGCTTTAGTTTTGTGGTTGTAATCAGTTGGAGTTACTGACCCTTCATGTTTGAGCACGCTCACCAGGCGGCAAACAAAAGAGCGAGTCCATTTACTAAAATGCATCAATTGTCGTTGGACAACAATTTTGCACAAACTTTTTGATGTTCAGGTCGGCCTGATCTGTTTTCAATGCTTACTAGAAAAAAATATGCATATTTTTTTCAACCTCTTGCTTATTGTCCTCTGCAGAAACTATAAAAACATGTTTTCTATAAATTCATAATGAGAAATGTGGTTGTCAAAAATGGTGGGACTGAATGGTCGTCTTGCCAACACATGAGCCAACCCACATGGCTGTGGTGCAACTGGGGCCAAAGGGAATGGTGGCAGTTACTCATGTGCGTTTTATTTCATA